TACCGAGTAAATAACGTAATTCTTCCGGTTTTGATGCCAGTGACGCTACATACCGTGTCCCTTGTGGCTTCCTTTCCGCGAAAACAAACGTGCGAGAAACAGTTATTAATGCTAGTTGAAAGAACACGATAAGCCTGGCTACAATTAATCGTGGTAGCCTCAATTGCTGATCTTCATGTCACGATCGATGTGGAACGTGATATAGTATAACTGTATCTCTCCGATTATCAATGCCCGCCGTCAATTTACCGTACGTCAAAAGACTCGGAATTTTCGTTTAGCTTAAAATTGACGAGTAATTTAAATCTTACTACTAGTAGACGAGATTAAATATAAATTATTATTTGACGACAAGTATTTGACTGTCATCGAAAACTGGTTTCGAAGATCAATTCCTTAAGATAAAATCACTAAAGATAAAATCGATTTCTCTTTTTCTTAATTTTATAGAAAGTCATCCGTTATATTCCGTTATCGTTATTCACAAAGTAGCGTGTATATAACAACAACAACAACAATAATAATAACAATAATAATAATATGTGCAGGTAATGAAATTATCGCCATTCGTACCGTTCAATGAAGGAGCCAAGTTCGAAAGATCACATGGTGACAATTAAAACCTGAGGATACGTCCAGCGAGAATGGGTGAGTGTCGTACAATCCTTTTAAGCTTATTACAAGACCGTAACGGGTTTATAGTATCGCCGAGCGAGCGTAATGAAGTTTGGTGGATTTACGATGGGGATGCACGGACAGTTAAAGTAAATTTAGATAGCGAGTAAAGTAAATTCCATTGTATCACGTGTGGCCGTCGCCTTTCGCGAGATATTTTAACTCACGGATGTTTGCGCCGCGAAACATGAGTTTTCCATTTGATCTCGTAATTCCATTTTGGAAAAGTCAATGATCACTGACATCGATTACACACTCCAATAATCATATATCCAATAATCATTATAGCTTGATTTAAGCGAGAGTTTATGTACGTATTTATATATATATACGCATTTACATATTTCTAGTAATTGGAAATAAAATTCACAGTAAATTAATTATTAATGTCTACCAACGTGGATTAACTTTCATCGCGGTTTAATTTACTCTTCATCTTTTTCTCGTTTTTAAAATTAGAGAAAGGTATAAGCAGTTAGACCGAGATTAAAATTAATCTGCATTGATAAAAACAGAGAATAGACAATTAAATAATGATAAACAAATTTTGTATCGCATTTTTGACACGCGATACGTTCACAGGTTGAACGTTTTGCATCGTTTCAAAGAGCATTTTTGTATTTTTTTTTGCAATTGGCGCCGTTATTTGCATCGCAATTTCACAAGAAACACTAAGCAAAAAGAGGAATTAAATGATAATGAAAAGCGATTCCACGAACGGTGTGTTAATCGTCATCAGCCGATCTCTTCCGCGTAAATACGTGCTTGATATCGCGACAGATCGAATTCTTTTGACAGATTTACGCGTAGTGCGAGATTCCACACGAATCAGTGGAGATTCCCGTCGGCTGATGAATGATCCAACGCTTAACATCTCCATATTCTTGTGTAAAGTTAGAAATTCCTAGTAAACCAGGAAAATTCCGCTTATATTCGATTTACTGTATTCGCTGTAAGTTATCTGACAGGAGAATCATAGCGAGCTGATAACAGAAGTTATCGCGGTGTTATCTACGCAATCGATACTCTTGTAATTAAAACTTTTGTGATGATCGTAATCGTGTTTACATTGCGCGTTACATATAACGAATTGCTACTATATTCGTTAACACTTTTTTCATATATGTAATTAGAAAAAAATAATGTAAAAAGTTTCGAAAATTTTCAATTTTTTGATAATTTTTTAATTTTTATAATGTGTTTTTTAAGTTCACGGAGAGAACAATTTTACTAAAGTATTTCAAAAATTGGCTAAATACTTATTTAAAAATAATTGTGTCGGGTTATTAAAATAATTGTGTAGGTCAAGTAGAATGGACAAAAATGTTGCAAAAGATCTTGACATTCTTGCAATCAACTTGTGCGTCACGCAATTATTAGATACACAATTATTTTATTGGTCTAACAAAATTATTTTTCAGATCTGTAACTAGCTAAATTTTTAGATACTTTAGCAAAACTCAAGGTTTTTTTAGGTTTTAAATTAATCTTTCCACGTGGTTCTGCAATTACGCGACTTCCAATTGATAGACTCCCGAGAAAATATATCAATGACACTTTTGATGAAAAATTAACATTTGTAGCGTCACTTGTCGACTGTTTTAAAACGTAACAGAATACGTCTGTTTACAGAATATAATTCTCCTTCATTTTACGTTTCTTTAACTTGTTTCACGAACTTGTACTATCATCTTCGCGTGCTATTGTTTACACACAAAACAGCCGCCAAGTTCATCGCGTGTTTATGCTTGTTTCAAAGAAATGTGAAGCATTATAGCGACTACTCATCCTCGAGTCTCATTCTGTTCCCGTTTTCATTATACAAGTACTCTTGGCAGATAAGGAATGTTCTCCGAGTTCTCGAAATTAAGACAATATCTCTTACCGTTAGATGAATAGCTTTCTCAGAGATTTATTTTAAGCGCTGACTGTTCTATAATATGAATCGTACTACTCGCCCAAAGCCCAAATGATTCGAGAATGGAGTTTGCATAACATTCGAATTACTGTTCGCCGATAGAAATATCCGCGAATGAAGGTACTTCGCGCTGTAAGTCTGAATCTCTCGGGGCTTGCAACTCTCTGTGGGCCCGGCAGTCCTTTCCACGAATAGACGACAAATCGAGAGAAATTCCGACGATCCCACTCGCAGTCCGGCCGATTCCGGCTTTATACGGCTTGGCCGTAGGTCGCTGTCGTTTCGTCGCCGTGTCGCCGTGCCGTCGCTGTAGACGTAGAGAGACGCGCCTTCTGCTCGCGGAGCTCGCTCGCTCTCCGTGTCTTCTTGGCGTAGCATGAAAATAGCCCAGCGTACTTGGAATATCGCGTGGCCTACGCGCTAAGCATGCTAAAACGGCGTCATCCAACGCCGCTCGACCAACGGACGTGGCGTGCGTGCGTGCGTGCGTGAGTGCGTGCGGAGCGATTACTTAAAGAAGCATGCTCATCGATGCTTGGCTATTAGAAAGTACTCAACAATTTTCTTTGAATACTTTATGTAGCTTTAGTATTTACGTATCTAGATGTAAACTCGCACGATAAATATTCATAAAAAAAAAAACTTTTTTTGCGATATTTTTCGATAAGTAAGAATTAGATAAAAACGATCGAAACAGCTTCATGATTAATGGATTTTTGTGTAAAGTAAAAAATTATTTATAATAATCGAATTGCATCTTTTACAGTTAGTATAAATACGTGAATATAGAAGAGAGAAAATAATTACTTTGGTTTCTGTTTTAAATTCGTGGTTTTATAACTGCCCCCTGCTATGCATTTAAATAAATTAAGGTAATATGTTTATGGGGGAAATCTCTATAAAGGATTATTCGGAGCAGAAAAACGAGAAGAAGCGAAGAGAAAGAGAGGGAGGAGCTTATTATCTCGTGTCAGGGTGCAGTTCAAAAATTGTTCTCCCGCCATCTACCTGCTCTGCAACTTTGTCGTGCCTATCTCTCTTGAAGTTCACATGTACTTGTTCGACCAGAGGTGGTCGACCAGCGATACTGGAGAAATACCGACCAACGATTAATTATAACTTGCCGGTTATTTACGGCTTTAATTTGCGTGCTGATTCTTCACAATCTAACGGGTGTTTCGAAATTACTTCTTTTCGATTAAGCTTCAGTGTTGCATGGAATTTTCCTACTAATTTTAAATCTAGGAAAAAAAATATAACGAATATCTAGGAAATTGTCATGTTAACAATTTTCATTCCTCTTCGTGAATTCATTTATAATACTATTGTTAGATTTGATAAAAAGATTTTGTTTTACACGGACGAGCAATATCATTTCTCACGTGTTGTTTAGCGAGTTAAAAATAAAGCGCGGTTGCAAGTATATAAAGACTAAGACTGCGTTGTATTTTCAAGGATAGAAACGTTAGTCAGCGGTGATAATGTTAAACGATTGCTGTCATTATCTGTGTATCTCCCTCTCTTTATATCGGAAAACACGACAGCGTGATGAAAAAAAGCCTTTCGGGTAAAGTCAAGTCGTCGTATGGACTGTGCATGAACATGCGTAGGATACGCAATGGGTGCGCAATGCGCATATATAGACACGTATTGCACGCGCGTCGCGCGCGCACGCACGATTGAAGGCCGAAATTACTATGATCGTATATACGCGATGCTCGCACGCGGTCCGGTTAGTAAAAAGAAGAGGGGACAGCGAATAGAGGAGCCAGCAAAATGCTGACACGGAGGAGGGCTTGACGTAACGACCGCAGCATCCCTCGTAAATTTTTACAACGCGATCGTAACACCGTTCACAATGTACGAAACTGGTCAAGAAAGAATCCAATCTTTTCTCTCCGTCTCGTTCTCCCGTTTCTCTTTCATGATCACTCAGCTTTCCGAGTATCACGAAAACACGTCGATGTATCGAGGCGATGAGACCGCAGAGAAGGAAGGGAGCGACCGAAAAAGGAGAACGAAGTAGTGAGCGTCGAGAGGGAGAAAGAGAAGTGATAAAGAGAGAGAGAGATAGTGGAATGACGAACCAGGAGAGGAGGATCGAGATCGGAGAGCATGACCACAATGCACGAGAGAATAGGAGAGAGGGAGAGAGAGAGAGAGAGAGAGAGGAGAGAAAGACAGAGAGAAAGAGAAAGACAGAGGCACTGTTGTCGCATCATATCTCGCGAGTATACGGGGTCAGAGGAAAAGAGGGACAACAAACATGCCGCGCGGAGAGTGACTGTGGAACGAGAGAGAGAGAGACTGAAGGGGGGGTGGTAGTGAGGGGGGTCGCGGAAGAGAGAGGAGGATGAAGCGGGGAGAGAGAGAGAGAGAGAGAGAGAGAGAGAGACTCATGGTTCACCTGTCGTCATGGCAACGCCGCTTCGCCGCTCACTTGTTACTCCATCGGCATAGCTCGGCCCTCGGCGGCGGTCCTCTCGCAGCCTCCGCAGGAATACGAACGCGAGTCACGATCCATCGCGTGGGACAGAGAGCGAGCCGACGCCTCCTTTCCTGATGGGCGAGCGCTCGGCTTGCTGGAGGCGCGATCTCTCTGCCGCGCCGAAGATCGACTTGGATCCTCTCTCTCCTGTTCTTTTTTTCTTTTCCTTTTTTTCCAACCACACGGGCGGGAAAAGAGAAAAAGAATCTCGCGCGCGCGGTGAGACACGGGATCACCCTTTTCTTACGTTCCACCACTACAATACACGCACTATAGGAATTATCACAGAAGAAATACGCACTCCATCGCGAGATATTTGTATATATATATGTATGTATATGTATTCTCGTCGTCCTCTCCCGTTGTTTCCTCTTTCACCCACGGAGAAACGTAGAATTCGAACGTATCACAGAAACGTGGAGGTGGGGAAAAAGTGAGCACAACATCCACCCTTCTCTTCTCCGATTCGTGTGTTTTACTCGCTCCGTCCTCCCGCCACGTACTTAAGCCGAAGTCACTCTTCTATTTTAAGCTCCGCACTTGCCTCGTCCGTCGTATCCTCTCTCTTTCTCCTTCTTTCTTTTCCTCTCTCCCTCCTGCCGATACCAGTCGCACGCACGCACGCACGCACGCACGCGCTGAGCGATATTCACACACTTACGAAGCGCCCAACGATCTCTCGCGCTATATACGGTGTACGTGCGCGATTTCTCGTTATCCACTTACTACGAGCGCGTCAATCTGTTTGCTATGCAAATCCCGTCCGACCGGCGCTGACGATGATAACGGGCAACGAGCGATAGCTCCGAATCGGTAGCACCGAGTACGATATCTCTCGTTAACGCAATCGGCCGGTCCGCAATCGCGCGGTTAGTCATTGCCCGCCGACGACGAGCGACATACGTTAGTTGGAAAAATATAATCGGCCACCCGCGCACCGCGGATTTCACGGGGGTATCCTTACCCCCACCGCGAGGCACGATGACAACGACGACGACGGAGAGGAATAAACCACTCGCACGGGGCCGAGCGTACGCCACCAACACACTGCTATTACCGCGCGGTCACCACTACCATCACCACCGCTGCTACCATCGCCGGCGATCGCGGCACTGCTGACTGCCTCGCGTCGCGTCGCGTCGCGTCGCGTCGTGTCGGGGACGCGTAAACGTGCCGCGCGCGCGGCGAGAAACTCCGACCGCGAATTCCCCCGGCGGCGGTCTCACTCGCACGGTGACGTCATTGGCGCCTAAACGCGTCGCCGTGGGGATACCCGCCGCGTCTCACCGCGCGTTCTCTTCTTCAAGAGTGTCTCTCCCTCCCGAGACGGAGTAAGAGAGAGAGAGATCGGTAGCCGATCTACCGACGCGACCTCGTTTACTGCAAAGATCGTGTACCAGGACGATCGACGGCGATTCCAAACTTTCGAAGCCCCCGAAAGAACACTTTCGCCACGATGTTATTCCTCGACGTTAGTCGCTGGATCTACGATCGATATGCCGCTCCTCGTGGCCGCGTGATAACACTCGACTACTGCTCCATTCATTCGATCGGTAGCCGGAGATGAATGTCGATTCGATCCGGGACGGCTCGCGAGACGCTCCTTGACGATTCACCGCGCCGATCGACACTTCCGCGTCTGGAGATGGTTCTCCATCCGAGGGCTTCGCGATCTCTTCGGTATCTTGTGGTCTTTCTATCCGATGGAAGTCGAGATACAAGTTTCCCTCGTGTAACGACCGGCGTCCGAAGTCACGCTTTCCCGCTCTCGATCGCGATCGATCGGAATTCCCTTCGCCTCCTGCTCCTCTTCCGTGCCACGCGCGAATCCTCCACTCTTAACTTAACGACGTCGCGCGCCTCTTACGTTACGGTCTCTCCTCGTTCTCCAAAGATCCCGCGAGTCTTGTACACGTTTTCTCACACCTCGTCACACGCGTCACGTTACTCTCGATCGCGCTCGATCGCCGCGATCTCGAGTCACTCCCGTCAATCCCGCTATGCCTGCCACAGTTGGTGTTGGCGCGCGAAAGTTGACTTCTCTCGACGATCACACTTCCAGATTTCTCCCTTACGTTCTTCCCCCCTCCCCCCCGGTAATCCGTGCGAGTCGCTCCGTTTCACCCGCGTTCACCCGTTGTTGCTGTCAACAAGTGTGATTCCTCGCGAACGCGAACGCGCGAACGGTCGACGTACACACGCGCGCGCACCCACACACGCACACACTACGCACGATCCACGGTGTCGCGTTGCGGTGTCGCGCGCCGCACGACGCTACGCACCTCCTCACGGCGTTGTTATTGTTGCGTAACTGACGGGCCCCGTGTAGCTGGCTGGCTCCGCAGCCGCGCCGCGAGACAGAGTGTATGGATGGAGTAGTGGTCGGGAGGAGAGAGACGAGAGGAGGACGGAGAGCGAGAAGGGAGGAGTGCGAGCGAGAGGGAAGGAGGAGAGGGCCGGAGAGGGTAGTCCCCGTGGGTGAGCCAGTGGGCGAATACGCAACGAGAGAGAGAGCGTGCGAGCGGTGCGCCGTCTGGCGTGGTTGGCGACAGTCTACTGCCTTCCGAGAACCACGAGGCGATTCCGTGTATCGAACGCGCACCGAGGGCCGTCGACGACGGTAGTAGGTAGTAGGGGAGACGGGATCGGCGCGCGATCCTCTGGTAGGGAGTTAGCACCAGGGAGCGTGAGGGACGAAGGGACGGTGCGAGTAAATATGAGACAGCTCAAGCGACCCAGAGAGAGAGAGAGAGAGAGAGAGATGAAGAGAGTTCAGACACGAGGCTCTCGTCAGGGACGCAGATATGCCCCGCGCACGTTTTCTTATGAACACCACGGAGAATCGGCGCGTTCGCGTCATATTGGAAGACGATAATGAGGGTTTAACCGTGGCCTTGCCGTCGTCAGCGGCGAAATGGAAAATCTACCGCGAAATCACGTTCGACGTCTGAGCGCTGAGATCCTGGCTTATTATATCAGCTTCGCTTTGTATTTTCTTTCCTGTTTTTGCCGCCGTTCGTCATCGGTCACAATCGACAAACGGTCGAGAATCGGTCCAAAAGTTTGAATGGGCAACTTCTCTCTCTCTCTCTCTCTCCCTTTTTCTCTTTCATGCAAGTCACTAATCGAAAAGTTGATCGTTCTTCGGATAGTCGGTTAGTCGAGTGTTTTATTAAACTCGCGCAATTTCGCAAGAAACGGAGGTAAACCGATCCGAGTTCGAGCTCCTTTCTTCCTGATCAATTCACGTTTTTCGATTTGCCTGCATTTACAAATGTACGTACGACGTGCTCGATGCAACCTGTTTCCGCGGCGCGCATTGCGGTGTAATGTTACCTGTTTATTAAACCTGCCTCCCCTCCGCCGCGCGAGACTCCATTCAAACGCCGAGATTAGCGACTGCGGTCGATTTCCAATTTTAATCATCGTCTGGTCCTACTCCGCGGCCAGCGAGCCAATGTTGTCGGCGAATTAGTGCGTTGCTTTTTGAGATATTCAGTCTCTTTGGCGACGGCACCCAAACAAAACGCTATAAATAAAGCTGTGAAAATAGAGGAGCGGAGAGTACCCCAGACGAAGAAACGAGGGATCTCGTGCGATAATCTACCTTATCTATTCCGGATCGCTAACAGCCAAGGGCAGACAGGGTCTCGTCCTCCGTCTTTGCCTGCCGTCACGGTTATGTTTCGTCGTTCCCGTTTCAAGACTCCGAGGCTCTCGCAACGGGAAGGAAGACCCCGCTGTTATCTGCCAACTACGTACAAAACTCTCACCCGGAAGGAGCTGGAAGGACAGCTGGTCTTCGACGAAATGAACTCCTCCCCGAAGAAAGTTGTTAAAAGACACGCGCACAAAAAATGACACGAACGAAAATATTTTCAAGTTTGATCCTCTAGGTATTATTCGTTAAAATATCTCGTGTATTTATAGACCGCTATATTCATAGAGTGAAACTTTGGCGAAGAATTTGCTAAGAAGAATCTCCTAGAATCTTTTTTTAAATATTTCTTGTCATTTTTAACGGTTATAGATATAAAAACAGGTGCGCATTCAGGACTATTTATATTAAATATAATACTACTAATACTACAAATATTTTTATTTAAATTTTTCTATAAAAAATAATATTACATGAAGTGCGCTACGAATTTTACAACTAAGATTCATTATCATAATATATAATTACCTAAAAAAAAAATTTTTAATTACCAAGAAATTCATAAATGAATTTCATTGACGAATTTCTTGTAATCTCTAATCTTTAGATAAACTTACATTGTGAAAACGAACCTAAAATGGTGAATTTTGTTCGCTGACTACATTAGATTAGTGCAAAAAGGCTGCTTTATATCAAGTATCTCAATGCAGTGACATGATATAATAAATTTTGACAATGAAATAATACATGTATATTCTGTTAAATAGCAGTATCATTATAATATTGGTTATTTAATCATTTATTTATACGCTTTTACATTTAACTTATTAATTTATGTATAGCAGCTTTTAGTATACACTAATTTAGTGTAATTCAAGTGATTGAATTCGCTGTAATATTCTGTGATTGCGTTTGTAAATTGTATATTAACTCCGCCAGTGCTTAACGGTATATATTCGCGTTACAAAATTATTTGGATTCGGCGACCATCTGTGAATTTTCATTTGACCTCCGTTGCAATTAGCGGTTAATACGGTACACAGTTATGGCGATTCGTCATTCAAGGACAATCAGTCGGAAGGTATAATTAACGATTCTGCCGCACGGAGCATGAAAGAGTCTCCGCCACACTACGCGACATTCATCGATCGTATCTGAAACGCAACACCGTCGCCGTTCTCACGCACACGCGTCTCATAATCGTGGGCGATCATCGACTGCGCAATATCGTGTGCAACAAGTTACTTTTGTTAACTGGACGTAGGAAGAAAACAGCTAATATATGAATGCAAAATTAAATCGCTTTCACGCTCTTATCTCGATAAAATAATATTTAATATAATTGAAATACGAAATAATATACCGAAACACGTACAATCGTTTATTATTATTTTAGATAAAACTTGTATATTGTATGTAGATTTCTGTATTTGTTTTCAAAAAATAGCACGCTGCAATTTTGCCAATAGTTATAGTGCACAATTGAAACGTCGAAAGCACGAGTGGCAAACGGGATTTGGCGTACGAGTGCAGTGTCGAAGTAAAGGGAAAAAAAAAAAAAAAACGAAACAAATCGAATTTTGTGAAAAGTGGACTTGACCCGATTGTATTTGTGAACCGAACCTCAGTTCGATCCTGCAACGTGTCCCGTTGTGGAACGGGCGTGACGGGATAACAAAATGCGGATGCACAATACAAATACAATCTGAATATGAATTTATCAGGTCGTTATGGAGCGTCAATCGGCCGGTCTTTAGGGTGCAGCGAGTTGCACCGATGCGAACGGCCCTTTCGAGCGCGGCCGGCCGGCGTGATTATTATTGAGCGACAACAAAGGCGGACTAATTGGCACGAGGCGCGCAACGTGTGCTCGTCCAGGACGGATAGCTGTTATCGCGAGAGCCTGGTAATTAAGGCGAAAGAATACAAATTGTGGCGGTTGTGAGCGGCGCTATTAGCGCGAGTTCAATGCTACGAATTATATGATTGGCGGAATACATTCCGATACACCACCGCTCTCTCGCCAGTCCGTTCGTTCTCGCAAAAGGCATTTAACGAACTTCATTCATGATATCGCCGACTCGTAACAATCGAACCATTTACCTATCGACTCGTAATCGGCATCAGAATGCGATACGTTATTTATTGGTAATGTAATATTAATTGGCGAACGAAATAAAATAATTTTAAAAAGGAGAGAAATTTCAGAGGTGCAAAGAAATCTTACGACGTGGGACGAGGAAAACTTTACACGAGAATCGTTCATTTTGAGAGGAAAATGGATCTAGATATGCACTTTGACATTTATAATCGTTTTTATTGCAGAAAAGTTTAATGATGTTACTTTCCGGGAATTTTTATTTTACTATATATTTAGCTTGAAAAAAATGGAGTGCGTCAAAAAATTAAACTCCGCGTGCATGACCTATTCCAGATACATTTTCACACTTTACACACGAACGTTT